ACTTGAAAGGAATAGCTCTGATGACTATCTGATGGTACAGAGCAGCAAGCGCAGCACCGATGAATGGACCGACCCAGAAGATCCACTGCAGACATAGAAACCAGAATAAACAACAGATCAAAGAGCAGAATTTAGCAAATTTCTGAGTTGCTATTTAGATGTTTGATGCAATTCATACTTATCACACTTAGCACAACCGTTGATGTAACTAAAGAGGAACACTTACGTGGTCATCCCAAGCATGATCCTTGTTGTAGATGATGGCAGCTCCGAGACTCCTGGCCGGGTTAATGCCAGTTCCAGTGATTGGGATGGTAGCCAAGTGCACCAAGAAGACAGCAAACCCAATTGGAAGCGGAGCCAAGATCTGCACAATGTTCGATAACCAAAAAAACACATGAGTTCTCTGCCAAGAATATGAACTCAACCGAATTTAAGGATACAAGAGAATTAGCAACATACAGGGACATGAGAGTCTCTGGCACTTCTCTTAGCATCAGTAGCTGAGAAGACAGTGTAAACCAGAACAAATGTTCCAACAATCTCTGCACCAAGACCTGAACCCTTTGTGTAACCATGAGCCACCACATTAGCTCCACCGCCATTCGCCTGGTATAGCCCTGGTTGAAACCCTTTAACCACACCAGCACCACAAATAGCTCCAAGGCACTGCATTACTATGTAGAACAGAGCTCTGGTTAAAGACAACTTCCTCGCCAAGAACAAACCAAAAGTCACCGCCGGATTAATATGTCCTCCTGCTCATAACCAAACCAATTCGCCACACACAAGTCAGAATCAGATTATGTTCTTAACACAGAAGAAACAAAATGGGGAAAATTAACCAAAGTTTCAAACTTTAAGAAGAAAATTACTCAAAGTTTCAATCTTTAAGTGGGAAATTACTCAAAGTATCAAACTTTAGCAAATTTCTCATAACCAATTAACCCTAATTCCAGATTCCTTCAATCTAAATTCGAAAACTTTCAAAAAATTCAGAACAAGAACAGATACTGAACCTGAGATTCCAGCAGTACAATAAACAAGAGCAAAGATCATGCCACCAAAAGCCCAAGCGATGCCTTGGATTCCAACAGAGGCACACATATTAGGAGCTCTCTTAACGCCCATGACTGTCAAAACGGTGACGTAGAGGAAAAGGAAAGTGGCTATGAACTCAGCTATGCCTGCTCTGTAAAAAGACCAAGATTTGAGCTCGCCGGGTTCGAAAAACGGCGCCGGTGGTGGTTCCTTGTAGTCCTTGCTCTCTGTCTGCGCCGCCGTACCGATTGGTTGTCTCTCCGGGAACTTGTTGGCTCCGACATTCACGTCTTCTTCTTTGCCTTCCATGTTTCTCTCTCAATCGATCACCAACTTGAGCTTTTTTCTCTCTGTAAATTTGGTGACTGGTGTGGTGGCTTTATAGTTTGGTTCATTTAGGCAAAATTAGTTATTAATTATTTATTTATTTTTGTTGCTAATTTCCAAAATCTTATATTTGTTTTTCATGCAAATTTATAAATTATCAGAAAACGTGTACATAAATAAATATAGTTAATTAGTAGATAATAGAAAATAAAATAGTGAATTTAGACTAAAATAACTCAATCTGTCTAAAATTTGTGATACATCATGCTAATTGCAAGGGTTTATAAATGATAAGAGTCGCACTCAAGTCTGTTCAATTGTCAATCATCTTTACTTGTTTTTTATGAACTTACATTTTTCATGTTAGACTTTAAATTAGTTTAATGTTTCTTAACGGTTATTTATTTAGTATTTGAGCATAATAATTGAGGTTAAAAAATGTTTTGAAATAAGAATTATTAGAGGTCGGTAGTTGAAATGGACTGGACAACTAGGCGCGAAAACGATGTATAGAAGAAGATGGACATAAGATTAAGCAACTGCTATATATAATTTGCTAAAACAGAATATATTACAGCTCAAATGATGTGGACAATCCCAACATAATGTTTCTATCAAATTATGTGAAAGATATTATAAAGAGGAAATAATACACTTCACATCGAAAATGTTGATCCTTATCTGCTGTTTATAGATCATCAATTCATGGTTCATTTAAGTTCTTTGTGTCACTAATGTTTTGGTTTTTGTATTGGGCTTTGACCCATAACAAGCTTTTCCTTTTCTTATGCAATTAAATGGAAAACCCTTTATAAAACTAAAAACAAAAAGTTTTTTTTTTAAAGTTTATTAAAAAAATCTCACTTTAGTATCCACATAATCACATATGTGCAATAGAGATAGAGGGAGAGGCATTTGTCAGTTACTGTGTATGGGTTCTTTGTTGGTTATAAATGGTCTCAGATTTATGTGACACGATATATATAGTTGCTCTGCTTCATTCTTCTTTGAAAAATATAGTTTAAGATCCTTGATTCATCATGAGGTATTCCAATAAACTTACTTTGCTAACTTTATCAACAATGGCTCTCATTTTAGTTGGAGAGAGTCACAAATCAATACCTTCGGATGGGAAGGGAGAAGAGCTGGAGAAGTTACTCAACTATCTCAATAAACCTGCAGTCAAAAGTTTCCAAGTAAATTTAGCCTTTCTTTTCTTAAATTTTCGATAGTTTTTTTTAAAACATTGTTGAATATTGAAGTTTATGATGTCAAGTTACTTTTCATTTCAACAGACTGAACATGGTTATATATTGGATTGCATCGACATTCAAAAACAGCTAGCTTTTGATCATCCTTTGCTCAAGAACCATTCTCTTAAGGTTTTATCCTTAAAAACATGAATAAATCTCTTAAAAAAATTCCTATTAATTTATGATGGATTGAAATATATATATGCAGTTGAAGCCCACAACTATACCTAAATGGACCAAAGATAACAACACCTCTCATAGACCCAATTCTTTGCCATTTCGACAAGCTGACATAAGTTGTCCAGTTGGGACAGTCATTGTCAAAAGGATTATACTTGAAGATCTTATACAAGCTCAACGTTTGAAATCCTTAGGATTCAACTACCCAAGCCCAGTTTCTTCAAAGGACAAGAAAATTGATTTAACTGGTCATCATGTAAGAAGCATTTCTTATTACACGTAGTTGAATTGAGATCCCCTCTTAACTTTTGCACAATGGTTATAATGTTTTTTGATTATCTATTCATTTTCTCTTTGGATTTTAGTTTGCCACAATTAGTTACAAAGATTACCACTATGGAGCAAAAGGAAACATTAACGTATGGAATCCAAATGTCTCACCTGATCAATTTAGTCTTGCGGCAATGACTGTCTCAGGCGACGAAGGGTTTCAAAGCATTACTGCTGGATGGATTGTGAGTCAAGCTAGACCCTATTTTTACTTATTTTCTAAAATAAAAATTTGGAACCAACAATTCAAAATATCTTTTTAGGTGTATCCAGGGCTATATCATAATAATCAAAGTCGCTTATTCACTTACTGGACTGTAAGTTTTTCAAAACATCTTAAAGTCTTGACTTTGAAAATTAGATTCGCTTTCTCTTTTCTTTCTAAAAAGAACCCGTAAAGTTATTATAAACGTAAACGGCATACACATACACACACATACAAAAAAAAACATTTCATTTTGTGTTGTGTTGTTTATATATGTTTTTTTGCAAAGTGGCTCGGATCCTCTAGCTCAAGTGACGATGCCACCTTTGCAGATATTTTGATCACAAGAGTTCTATTCAATCTTTTAGCAGAGGAATGAGAAAAATATTATGTGGGCTCGTTAACGAAAAAAATGAAAATGTTTTATACTTTATCTTTAGAAAAGACAAAATGAGTTGTTTTTTCTTTCTCACGTAAAGGAAAGTTTGCGTTTGAAAAAAAAACCTTTGGTTTAGCAGATAATCAAAAACATTTAAATCATTGATTCAAATAGGCGGATGGAAATAATAAGACTCATTGCTACAATACACTATGTCCTGGGTTTGTACACGTGAGCACCAAGTATGCAATTGGAATGCTTGTCCAACCAGTTTCCATTTATGATGGTCAACAATATCAACTAGAAGTCAGCATATATCAGGTATATATAAATATACAACACTAGCTTTCTGCAAAATTATATCGAAAAGTCGAGGGTTATGTTAACAGCTATTGTTTTTGATTTAAACAGGATCATGTTACAAGAGACTGGTGGTTTGTGCTAAATAACGAGCCAATTGGATACTGGCCAAAATCATTGTTCACGCGTCAAGGTTTAGCTGATGGAGCGAGTGCGGTGTTTTGGGGAGGAGAAGTTTACAGTTCAGTGAAAGAGAAGAGTCCAAGCATGGGAAGTGGACATTTCCCACAAGAGGGTTACAAGAAAGCAGCCTATGTGAATGGTTTAAAAATAATCACCGATGTAACAAAAGAAATTTCAAGCCCGTTAGCTTCAGCTTTAAAGACAGTCGCAGACAGTCCAAACTGTTATAACGTGAAGAAAATATTAGGTGTTGGTGAATATTGGTCAAGAGCTATCTTATTTGGAGGACCTGGAGGATGCACATTTTAGTTTACTTGTCTTTAAGAACTTTATGTCTTCTGCTTAGTTTTAGTTAAACCATAAAATGGATGTTTCATCTTATAATTATCTTGATTATTTTCCTCTTTTTCTTTCGTGAGATTCAAAATTTTTAATGGTGGATGATAATTGATTCATACGCATGTTTTTAAAGTCTTAGGTCCAGTATATATCAGATACAAATTAACTTAATGGATCAAAATATTGTTTATTACTTAAAATAAATTATAGGAAAATAAGAATCAATTTTTTTTCAGAGTAATGTTTTTAACATTTTTTCCAGAGTAATCTTTTTAACATTTTTTCAGATTTCATTAATTTCTTCCTAATTGTTATTTAATTTTAGGTTCAGTTTTTTCTTTTTTTTTTTTAATATTTGAAGGCTGCCCTTGTTAGGGTTTTGCTTAAACTCCTCTACCACTATGTATATAAAGAGCTATAAACACATTAGGGCTTGTACGATTTCTCAATAGTTCCATCGCTCGGTTTTCCATCACGTCGATTGGTGTCAGAGCCACGCCTATGAAGAATTTGCGCGGCTCTGATACCAGTTGATGCAATGGAAACATCGATATTGCCTGATTCCGTGTTTCTTTTTTACCTTGTTGTTAACGCTTCAATTCTATGTCTCAAGTCTCGATTGTTTTCAAGAAGACGACACGAGTTAACTAAAACATGAGATTTCTAAGGAGGAAGGTAAGTTTCTCCCTTAGTTTCTTGGAGCAGAGTTTCCTTATTGGATCGATCTTACATATATCTTAGACTTACGCTATAACTTTCTTTTTCACAATATATAGCACTTTAGTGTCTTGTAGATCTGAGAAGTTTTTTTTTTTTTTTTTGTGTTATTAGTTTTAGATTTATTTGTCAATCAATTGTGTAAAGAGATTATGGTTTTTACTTTATACTTTTCTTTACCACTTTTCTGTTTGCTTTAGCTGCAGAGGGAGACACGTTTATATCTCAGTACTAATATGCAGAGTTAAATCTCAGATCTTTTCCTCAAAATTTTCTGTAACCGTTAATTATTTAAGCCCAAGATAACAATATACATTTCATTTATTTATTCACTCTTTATTAATTTGATTCCATGGAAAAGTATAGGCCACTTGTCTATAAGTACTTTTCACAAATTTGATTGTAAGTTGTTCATTCATTATAACTTAATTCTTTTGATTCATTGTTTATTTACATAAGAAAGATATATAAGAGCCTCTGACTGTTGGATAATCATTGTTTACACAATGGATTCCTCCAATAACAACCTTGTGTTAGTGATTCTATTAACAATTGCTCTTGTTTTAGGGGTGAAAGCAGCTCATATACGCCGAGCCATAACATCGGAAGAAGAGAAGAAAGAAATGGAGAGGCAACTCAAAGCTATCAACAAACCACCAATCAAGAGTTTTAAGGTTGGCTTAGCCGTCCTTCTTCAAACATGCTTGCGTTACGCTGAAGAAACATGACATGAGTTTATGAGTAGTACAATAGCTTATAAACACCATTTTCAATTTTCCTTGTTGAACAGACTGAACAAGGTGAAATATTCGATTGTATCGACATTCACAAGCAACTAGCCTTTGATCATCATCTGCTGAGAAACCACTCTGTTCAGGTTTTGACTTTTATAAAGTTCTCTCTTCCTCTCTCGTTTCTTGTATCAAGGATGAATTATTTATACCTAAAAGAACGCATTGACGTACATGCAGCTAAAGCCAACAAGTGTACCTAAATGGATCACATGCCACAACAATTCACAAAAAATTGGTCCTTTGCAGCTTCAGCTAAAGGGAATAAGTTGTCCACATGGAACAGTGATTGTTAAAAGGACTACAATTCAAGATCTTATAAACTCGCAACATTTGAAATCCATTGGTTTCAATATCCCTAGACATGTCCTTAGAGACGGAAACAACATTGATTTGACTGGACATCATGTAAGAATCCTTACAACATAAAACACCATTTATCTGTTTCCATTTTCTTAATTTCTCAATTCTCTATGGATATATATAGTTTGCAACGGCCGACTATGAATATGACAACATTGCTGGAGTGCAAGGAAACATTAACCTCTGGGATCCACAAGTGTCACATGATCAAGTTAGTCTTGCAACCATGGCGATTGCAGGTGGTCCAATAATAGAAGAGCTCTCCAGCATTTCCGTTGGATGGATGGTAAATCTATTTTCTCGTTCTTTCGTTATTAGTTTTTTTTTCAAATCACATAAATGTAGAGTTTGAAAAAAAAAAGTTTGCAAACACATGCATGTACTACAGGTGAATCCATTGTTGTACAAAGATCACATTCACTTATACACCTACTGGACTGTAAGTTTTGAGTAACCCCTTTGAAAGTTTACACTAGTAGTTCTTTCTAACTTGACATGGTCTATATATATGGTAAATATTGATTCAAACAGGCAGATGGATATAATAAGACAGGATGCTACGACATAAGATGTCCTGGATTCGTGCAAGTCAGCAAGAGGATACCACTTGGTGTCCTTCTTCAACCAGTTTCAATTTATAATGGTACACAAAAAGAAATGGACTTAAGCTTGCATCAGGTAATTACCTCCAGAGTCTCTAGTGATCTAATTAATCTTTTAAATGATCACTTGGATATTCATCTTATAATATCGGGGAACAGGATCGTGTCACGGGAGACTGGTGGCTTATATTTGGAGGTGTGAATGTTGGGTATTGGCCACAGTCATTGTTCATAGCCTCAGGCTTAGTTAAAGGAGCAGATCTTGCATCTTGGGGAGGTCAAGTGTACAGTCCAACGACAGAAAAGAGTCCAATTATGGGCAGTGGGCATTTTCCTAAGGAAGGTTTTGGAAAAGCAGCCTTTGTAAACAATATCCATATCCTCAATGGTAAGGGAGAAGCTTTGATTCCACAAATCTACACTATAAAGACACATGAGAGCAGTCCAAATTGTTATAAAGCCAAGTATGTTCATGATGATGATGAACCTTGGATAAGAGCTGTTTACTATGGAGGTCCTGGAGGATGCATAGGGTAATAATATTCTATGAACTGAAGAGTTTACAAGATTTTAAGAATTATAGATGAAGCTAATAGGATAAATAATCAAAATCAAGTTTCACAATTTCAGAACTTTCAGTATATGTTTATTGAGCATTGGACTGAGTGCAAAAATCTCACCTGAAAGTACAGAGAAAAAACGTACATTTCTTGCCTACAAAAATCATGTGATTATATGATTAAGGAACTGCTATATATACATAAGTAGGACATTATGTATAATTGCTATTGACTAGAAGTTCTAAGCAAATCAATAAATTTCATCCAAACGGTTTCTCTCTCCTAGTTAATTGTTAAATTTGATTTTAATAGCTTTTACATAGATACGGTAAAAAAACATATAAGAGTTTTTAAAAAAAGAAAAAAAAAATATACAGCTGTAAAAACGTTCTTTCTAGGGTTAGGGTTTGATCAATATTCTTCTCTACCACTATATATATACATACAGAGGCGCAGAGCTTTACACTAATTAGGGTTCTACAGTTCCATCACTCGGTTTCCATCACATCAATTGGTATCAGAGCAACGCAAGATGTATAATAACTATGCGTCGCTCTGATACCAAATGATGCAATGGAAACATGGATATTGCTTCCAGTTTTTTTCTCTCCCAATTCTTCGTAGTCAGTGCTTCAACTGCTTCAGTTTCATTCATATGTATATGAATCGATCTAGAACTTTGGGGGTTTTTTAACCAATAATGTTTACAAGAAGTTAAGCCATAAGTTTTGGATTCAGTCCGAACAAACTTTTGTGTGTTCTGAGAGCTGACAATGTTATGGACCTCTAAATTTGATTTGTTCTCCAGAAATATTAATCAATACACTGCGATTATGCTCAAGGTTGGACTTATATCTTGGATTTGGGCTATATTTGTTTTAGAAAAATACCACTTTCGTGTCTTGCATAGAAAAAAGTAAACGAAGACTTTTATGAGAAGTTTTTGTTTTATGACATTAGAAAAAGGTAAATCATGATGACTTTAATTCTTGTTCTTGATAATTTGTCTTTGTTTTATATGTCTAATCCTTTCTTTGAGACACTTTAATTATATGTAAGACAAGATGATAAGAAGAAGAAAAAGTCATTTATGTATACTAAAGTTGGCTAAAAACTCTTATTAGAAATTTAGAATCCACATAAGGGGGATAGAAAGAGGGCCACTTGCCACTCATTAATGGTATATAGATTGTTCTCTGATAATAATTAATGGCCTCAGAGTAATGTGACACCTTATATACTTGATGTTTCATTAAACTTTTGACAACCATAATTAAGAGAGCCTTTCAATCTTTATAGTTACATCAATTGCCATGATTTCTTCTGATAAGCTTCTTCTGCTTACTTTTTCAACGCTATCTCTCATTTTAGTTGTAGAGAGTCACAGACCAATATTACTAGAAGATAATGAAAACGAGTTGGTGAGGTTACTCAACTATATCAATAAACCTCCAATCAAGAGTTTTCAGGTAAGTTAGCCTTTTAAAAAATCGGATATCATATTCCTTAAAATTTGGTTTTCTATGCGGCCAGAATCACATTCTTTAGTTTATTGCTTTTGCGATATTGTAGACTAAACATGGTGATATATTGGATTGCATTGACATTCAAAAGCAGCTAGCATTTGATCATCCTCAGCTCAAAAACCATTCTATTCAGGTTTATGCATGTCTATATTATAGAAGTTTTCTACTTCTTTTAAATTGTTTTAAAAGAGGAGCTTATTTGTGAATGGCTTGAAATATGATGTGCAGTTGACGCCTACAACTATACCTAAATGGACCATACATAATAATAATGATTCTCGTTCTGTACCGCTTCGACAAGATGGCATAAGTTGTCCACTTGGGACCGTGATTGTTAAGAGGACCACACCGGACGATCTTATACAAGATCAGCGTTTGAAAGCCATGGGGTTTAAATATTCAACATATGTTTCTTCGAAGAGCAAGAACATTGATCTGACTGGTTTTCATGTATTAATCTCGCTAATACATCCGTCAAGTAGAGAAATTTGAATTTCCATCTACAATGAGCATTAATCACTTCTTTTTTTCTTTTATATATTTCTCTTTGTATTCTAGTTTGCCGTTGCTCAGTACAAAAATTCTCATTATGGAGCAAAGGGAAACCTTAATCTTTGGGAACCAGAAGTTTCACCTAATCAATTCAGTCTTGCAAGTATGCTTATCTCTAGAGGCTTAAATGAGCAGTTTCAAGGCATTAGAGCTGGATGGATAGTAAGTCATGATCTTTGTGTTTTCCCTTGCTTTCTCTAACTTGTATTAGCTTACACTAATTTTTATATCAATGGTGAAAACTTAAATATATTACCAAAATCAACACTCAAAAATATCCTCAGGTGTATCAATGGCTGAACAGGAATCACACTCGCTTATACACCTACTGGACTGTATGTTCTCAAAATCTCTAAAGAGCTTTAATATAACATCCATCGTGATTTTTTTTCGCATTCTCTTGTTGTGGATCTCCTCATTTATATATGTTATATTAT